TGCTAGCTGCAGTTCGGCAATTCAAATCTCACCAGGCTCAAGGTTGACTCCTTCTGAGGTGGGTAAGATGAGGACTCAGATAGTTGAGGCCAATATGCTGACTCTTTAAACTGCCTAGAGAGGGCTGTAAAAGCTGTATGAAGTCTAAGTGCTATTGCTATTAGCAGAGATGGCCAAATTAACTGCTTTAATCAAAGAAAAGGATACATCCAATGTTGCTTCTATTTGGAAAGTGCTTCTAGATTTTGTGCTTGAGATAGGAAAAAAAAGAAACTTTGACTTTGGGATTTGCTGATTAGACAGGTTTGCTATAGAAATGGCTAGTACATATTAAGGACTCTGTGCAAAAGTAAAAATTTGAGGCTGTAATGTTATTTTTATTCTACTATGCAGAAAAGAGTCAGAAGTTAATGCTGTTCGCTTTCCCCTTTAACCTACACTTCTCTCTCTCTCTCTTTTCCCCTTCCCTCTTTGCCCACTATTTTCATTTTCATTTTATACTTTGATAAGTTTCATAAAGTTATATTTAAAAAGGAGAACATGAGCTCAACAATCTGGTAAGCACAAATGGAAATAAATGGCAGAGGCAGAAGGATAGTGAGAATGAGGTGCCCTACCATATCCTTAAATTTCAACTCCACAGGAAATTAAACCAAACATTTAAAGACTAACATAGGACTGCTACAATTGTAACTTGGCTCTTGTTTTGCAGAACTTCTCTCTGTTAAGCTAATGCCTCATAAGACAGACAGACCCCTCCCATCATTTCAAAAAAACAGACTATTGCACTAGCTGACAGGATGAAGAAAGTTTACATACATCCAATCTCATCAGTCCCGTCTCTGCAGTCACGTTCCCTATCACAAGTCCAGTGATCTGGGATGCATTCTAATGAGTTTTGACATTGCCACTGATGGGCACCACATTGTTTCTTTGGAAATCCACAGTCCTGTAAAAACCAATCAATCAATCCATCAAGAACTGCTGCTGTTCAACAATGAAACATTTGAAATACTTGAAGACTTGAGATGGTGTAGGTTCTCCTGCATGAGCGGGGGTGAGGGTGGGGGAGGTGGACTAGAAGACGTCCAAGGTCCTTTCCAGTTCCATTCTATTCTTTTTGCCTGCTGGCAAGGTATGACTGACTTGACTTGAGATGCTATATTGCTGTAGAAAAAAAATGCTATCTGAGCTGTGATACTTTACAGCAACACAGAGAACATGGTGGAAATGAAAGCAGGCACTATTGAGAAGAAACCTGAAAAAATTTCTGGGGGGATGGAGGCAGGCGGCTGCTTGATCCTGCCTTCTGATTTGCTGAGAAGTCTGCCTATACTGCATATCTTTAGAAAGAAGTATCTTAATATCTCTGTAGCAGTTTAGAGACATTTGGTGACCATGAATGGATATGCCGTGTGCTGGCAGTGACTGAAACTTTCAATCTTGACAAGAGCTATACATCTTGAAAAGTATTCAGAAATAAACTTTTTTTTCTTTTTATGATCCTGTAAATCCCTTGTATTGGGATGGAGCCGGGGCAACTGGATGGAGCTGAGCATTTATTGGGCAGATGCCCTTCCTGATGCCACATGGAGTTCACAGCAGATATTTTCTCTTTGTGCCCTGATAAACAACTGCCACTCCCTATGACTGAACTCTCAACCTCCTCAGGGTGAGACAATCTTCTTAATCTCTAAGTCACCATGCTGCTCAAGCGCCACACAATTAAGGTTACTTAATTCTTAATTAAGGCAAGGACTGTAATGGAGTAGCCCAGTAGCTATTCCAGCTGCTGAGTGGTTGAAAAGGCACCATTTGTCCTGTTTACCCCAAAGGGGGAAGCTAGCTTACTTTAGGGTTTTCAGCATTTGTACCTGCTCATCTGACCCATCTTTGCAATCCAGATCCCCATCACAGAGCCATTGCTTTTGGATGCATTCTCCACTTTCATGGCATTTGACTTCATCATTGTAGCAGTGCAGTTGTTTGGGGACTGGGCAGTCTTCTTCATCGGAATGGTCCTTGCAATTATAATTTCCATCACAGTGCAAGATATAAGAAATACACTGCCCGCTTTTACACTGGAAGTGCAGGTCACTGCATATGATCTGAGCTGCAAACAGATAATAATGTTTAACTTTCCCTTGTTTCATGCCCTCCTCAAAAACTTACCCAGACAGTATGAATCAATTAATAAGTAACAATAGCTTTAAAACCTATCAAGATTTTATAAAAGAATGCTATTCACCTTACATGGTAGAAGAGTAATAAGTGCAGCAAAAGATTTATGTTCCCTGTTTGGCTATGACATTGTAATACCGTGTTTTCCCCAAAATAATATAGTTGGTTTGTTTGTTTCCTTTATTTGTATGCCGCCCTTTTCCCTGGGGGGACTCAGGGTGGCTCACAATTCAAAAAAAGGGGGGGAAAGACAAACAGTAGACAATACAACATGTTAAAAAAAGAGCACAACAGTCACACAGTGCGGGTGGGGCTACAATCTTACCCCCAGGCGAGCCGGGACAGCCAGATCTTTAAAGCGGCGCGGA